CGAGCCTTTAGCTCTGAGGATCCGCTGCCACACTCTGTGTGACTGCAACAAGGAGACTAGCTACACATGGACTTTAGGTTTGCTGCTGTGCAAATGTGTTCTCCACCTCTCTGCTCACTTGAACTGTATCAAACTCTGTTGCAGAGAAGGTTTTGCAGGAAATTTTCTGTTGACGTTTCACAGAATCCTCAGATGGGATTTGGAGTCACACTTCACAGCACAGTGCTCATGTTAGAGTGTAAAATTACATGAGTAGAGAAAAATTCTGATAACAAAAATCTTAGATTTTCTGAACGAAATGTGTGCCTGTCTGAGCAAAACTCACTTCTACGATGCTAGGGTGTTGTTAGTGGTTGCCAGGACATTGCTATGTTGTGGCTAAAATGTTCTGGGAGGTTTTGCTTATTGTTGTAGGTTGTTGGGGGATTTGGGTGGTTTCTAAGGCGCTTTTGTGGGTGGTTGCCATGGTGTTGCTATGCAGTTGCTAAAAAAGTTCTGGGTGGTTTTCTACATTTTTATATGCTCGCTAAGATTTTTTGGGTAGTTTTAGCACATTACTGTTCCGTTGCTAGATTATGCTGGGTGTGGTTACCAAGGTGTTGCTATGTGGCTACTGGATAATAAGGTGTTCTGTGTGGTTTAACACATTGCTCTGTAGTTGCAAAATTGTTGTAGATTGTTTCCAGTAAGTAGAGAACAATTGTATTAACTAAATTCTTGTATTTTCTGAAAGAAATGTGTGCCTGCCTGAGTAAAACTTGCTATTATGATGCTAGGGTGAAGTAAAAGGTTGCCAGGGTGTTGCTATGTAGTTGCTAAAATGTTCTAGGTGGTTTTGCACTTTGTTGTAGGGTGTAGGTTGTTTTGGGTGGTTGCCAAGGTGTTATGGGTGGTTTTAGCACATTGCTATTGTGTTGCTAGGCTATTGTGAGTGGTTTCCAGGGTGTTGCTATGTAGTTGTTAAAAAGTTCTAGTAGGGCTGCTCGATTATGACAAAAATCATAATCACGATTATTTTGGTCAATATTGTAATCACAATTATTTAAAACGATTATTAGTGGGCTATATGACCAAAACTTTATATGAAAAATTTATTTAAAGATTGTGATATATATCAAACAGTGTTTGGAAGGTTACTTTGGAAATGTAATAGGTTACAGATTACAAGTTACCCTATTTAAAATGTAATAGTAGTGTAACTTTTTCAATTACTTTATTGAAGTAATGTAACTATTGAATTAAGATGATCAAATTTGAACACATCCACCACAAAATCAGACTTTAGTACCGCCTTTTACTTTGAGATTGATCTGAAGTTCAATGCAGATTTAAAATCATAAGAAATAGTTTACTGATATTGTTTTTGAAACCAAATCTTTGCATAACTACAGGAAACACTGCATCTAACAATGGTTTGGGAAAAAAAGTTAATTTAAAAATAATAATAAATAAAAGCATAAACATCAACTCAAATACGGTTATCTAATAAGCATGTGTCCTATTCTGTGTACTAAACTCCTGAAACATTGGTGTCTCTTTGTATATGATATGACGATAGTTTTCTCAAAATAAGTAAAATGCTCATGAAGTGACTCAGAGCAATTCTAGAGATTATGTTTTTGTGTTCATGTACTCATATATTGAGGCAGCAGAGGCTGAAAACAACGCGAGCCTGATCCAAACCGTTTGGCGGAGGCGCGGAGAGCGCGCGAGCCGAAGCATTGCCAGTCACGACTAACCGATTCATGATTTATTAGAGATTTAATTATCGAATGGCGAATTCGGAAATAATCGCTTTAGTACATTCGGCAGGCAATTATACAATAATAATATTAAAATAGCGGGCCAAATCGGCTGCCAGGCCACCGGAATTGTCCCGGTTCTCCCGATGGCCAGTCCGCATCTGATTTCCAAAGACACGCAGAATTCATATATTGTCTTTTTGCGGCTTAATACTCACAGACACTAGTCCATATCGCGTTTTAATTCTCAATACCACAGCAGAATACCAGAGTAACTAATATTAGTTAAAAATAAAAAAAAAGGGTCCTCAAAATTATTGAAAATAATTAAACTGTAATAAAAAAGCAAAGGAATACAATGCCAGTAATAAAAAAGCAAAAGAATACAATAGAATAAAAAATATACAAATTAAACAAACTGTGCTTTAAGTTTTTTTAATGCAAGTCAAAAGTATTCAGTTAACAGCCTACTAGAGAAATTGAATAACCTAATGTAAAATAAAACAGCATAGTCTTCACTGTAAGAATTAAACTTCCTTTGTTTCTTATTAAAGCTACAAAAGTCCTTCAGTCAAGAGCAGTGAGTGTCTTTTGTTGTTTGATTAATATTAAAGGGGTCATATGATGTTGCTAAAAAGAACATTATTTTGTGTATTTGGTGTAATGAAATGTGTTTATGCGGTTTAAGGTTCAAGAAACACATTATTTTCCACATACTGTACATTATTTTTCTACTCTATGCCCCGCCTTTCTGAAATGCGTCGATTTTCACAAAGCTCATCGGTCTGAAAAGCGAGGTGTGAACAGCGTCACACACCGCGTCCTTGAGTGAGCGGC